CATAGTTCCCACACATAACGTTATTTTTGCGTTTAGTTCGTAAACACTTTGCACACTTTCTCTAGAGCAGACACTCATATTGAGAGCGTTCAAACCCGTTTCAAGTAAGATATGCATATTACTTCTCTCTACTTTTATTTTACTTGCCTTAGTTTCAAAGTTTTTTTCTACTGTATCTTTTGTTGACTCTTTAATCCCTGTGTAAACATATTATCATCAATCTCTATTCTGAAATTGTCTCACAATCGTTCGCATTCTAGGATGTGGTGTGTGGGTGTAGGTATGGGTGTGTGACTGTGTGTGACTGTGTGTGGCTGTGGCTGTGGTTGTAGATTAATCACACAAATACACTCACACCACCCACACCGAGGGATCCAGATGCGAAAAAAGTTTTTTTTAATTTTTACAGGAGTTTTATATATTAATTAATCAAAGATCTTGCGCTGATTCTCAATGCATAAAATTTTTTGTTCGAAACGCTTACTACTGTTGAAATATGGCCGAAACATTATCCACTTTGGATAGCAAAATAGACCTTTTAAGAAGACAATTTTGTAATCCGACAACAAGTGTCTGCGGTACCAAAAGAATTTACCTGTAAAACATATAGAGCTCGATAGTATGCCGTTTTTGAGAAAGTTTCACGTTTGTGTTCACTTGTTCTGTGACACAGCATGGAGTATACTGGAATGCCATTTAGTCAATATATATAGCTTAGACCTATGGTCAATTACCATTTTTAACTATGAAGAAAGAAACAATAAAAAATATTGAACATAACATAATGGGAAGCACATAAACCTGTATCAATTTAATTAAAACAAAGAATTTGAACAAGTTTATCTAAGAACGACCTAGGGACCATGATATCACTGGACATCATATCGTAACTCTCAATAACTATAAGCCGTATGTGGACCGTTAGTACGCCAAAATGTTAAGAAAATTTGGCTTATTTTATACCATTCGATGTTTCGAAACTTGCTCTACAAAATCATATGTATGGCATTCCGATTCGTAATGATTCACAAATCTGGAGGATCCTTTAGCCGTCTTAGATAGAATTTCACATTTTCACTGAGAATTTTGACTAGTTTCATGTCTCATAGAATAAAAGAGAAAGAAAATCGGAAAAATGGCTACTAATTAGTGTCACTAGTCTCAAGTGACCCCTTTAAAATAAAAATAAAGAATTAAGATTATCTCTTAAAGTAGTCCAATGCTGTTGGAGATGTGAAAAGCTTAAAAAAATCATACATTACAAGCACAAAAATTATTTTAGCTTTGACAGATGACGAGATATAAGACGGAATTTTGTCTGTTTATGATTAGGCACCGCAATATGTGCACAAAGTTTCAGCTCAATCTCATATCATTGCTTGGAGATCCTATTTGGAAGAGAGGAGGTGTTTAGACAATTTTTGGTCTCTTGCAAACGAGAATGTACTGCAAGTATTTCGAAAGTATTAAAACCGCTCGAATCTCTCGTGGTGTCTTGATAGACCTTCTTTCTGAGATAGAGTGGTTTTCAGTTTTAGATCATTAATCCAACTGAATACTAGAAATTCAATGGTAGACACTCAGTGGCTTTCACAAGTTCTTTATCATTCGTGCCATGTTGCTGCTACCACTAAAATAATTTCATTTGAATCCAAACCACTGAAAGGTGGTTGCCATTTTAATGTATTGAAACTATCCTTGGCTTATTCAGAACCCAATAGACAATTACCATGCTCAATTATAATGAAAGCTGTTCAATGGAACAAAAAATTCTTAGAAAAAATTGTTCTTTATCTAAAGAGATCGTTAAATGTGCATGACTATGAAGCAATTCAGCTCCAATCTTATGAAATAGAGATTTCTTTCTATAAAATATATTCCAACGATATCAAAGGTTTGAAATTACCCAAAGTTTATCACATACATGAAAATGTATTCCAAAATGAATTTAAAATGGTAATGGAAGACTTATCCCATTGCGACAACGGACAACCGTCTGGATTTTCGTTCAACGATTCAATGATGTGTTTGAAGCAACTGGCCTTATTCCATATTGCAAATTGGAATAATCCAATACTAAAACCAGGTGCTAAATTGTGGAACATTGGTGGTTATTGGACAGGAGGCAAAGAAGTACGTATATGCCAGTGCTGAAAGCTTTCTGGGTTAATGGAGTAATGTTATATACTCATTCAGCGAGAGATGAGATTAAAGTTCAAGATGAATGTACCAGCCGAGCAGGACCCTGCTGTCGTGCTCTCGGCTAACTATTAGCACTAATACGAATAACTGTTTTCATATACTGTGGGTCTCTTCAGAATGCTAATGCTCAAACTTTCAGTCGTCTAGCTTGCTATTGCTGGAACGTGAGTGTGAAAATACCGATTGCTGCTCTCATGGTTATTGCCAATAGAGCTATTTTTCTGGTTTTAAAGGACTACAAACTAGGAGTAGCACTGTAACTTTGAAAACACTCATAAAGTGTTTAAGTTTAAAATGTCACTTGAAACTTTAACAGTTAAAGTTAAAGTACTACTTTAAACTTTGAAATGTAAAACTAAAAAGTAATTCACTCTCTTACTTTAACTTTAAGAAATCCGAAGTTAAAGTATCTATCCTCAGGGAAGCTCCAAACATTCCTTCAAGTTCTACCACTGTGGATACCTTAGGTCCTCAAGGCCTACAATATGATGATACTCTTAGATCCCGAAATGTCTCTGTATGGGAATGCTCTTAGGTCTCCAAATCCTATTATTGAAGGGTTATTTTAAGTCTTGAAGTCCTATATTTATTAGATCTTATATAAAGTTAAAATCAATGTTTTATACAGAGTTTGTCTTCGAAAGTAGGAAGCTTAAAATACTGATATATGGAGTGCCGCTCGAGTTGTGTATAACATGCTCGTAAAAACCGTGAAAAAAATGTTCGATTATATATAATTAGATGAAACTATTACATTCTAGAAAGGCTGGGATTTAGTTACAAATTTTGGAGCACTGGGAACTAGGAAATGGCACCAATCACCGAGAAAAGATTATTTAGTAAATAATGATTTTTTTCTTACTTCTGCAATGAATATAGTCTAAGTCAGGTCAAGCAATATATAGGATTGATCTTTCGAAAAATCGCAAGCTCTGAACAAAATTATCTTTGAAAATAGAACAAAGATTGCACTTCAAGCATTCTTAATTTGATTTGCATAGGCTTTTATAAATTCATTAATAATTCTATTTTTTTCCGTTGTGCTTAATTCATACCCAATCATGGCAAAGCGACCAAGGTCTGTTGTACCCGGAATTGAATTGGCAGCAATATCTAATTCTGTTTTTCTTCCTTATATTTTCACAACTAATTGAGTTTTTATACTGAAGAATGTTCCACCTATTTTTCTATGCTGTTTTTTTGTCATACGGTCCGCTTGGATACTTTCGTCTTTGATTTGAATTCTGTTGAAGTAATCCAAATATTTTCTGAACATCATTACATGAAAGGTTTAGCAGGTATTAAGTGACTTTGATCATTCAAAACACAGCCGTTTTTTAACAAATGTACATTTTTCATTAAAGTTTTATTTTTTTATACTTACCTTGCGAAGTTAAATATCTCGCCCGATCCCAAAAAAAGAGTAACACTTATTTGTTATGATATTCGAAAAACTAAGCATGTTGTATAGCCCTGAGAAAACATTCAAGTAACATAAAGTTTCAATCGATGATTTGTTTCTTAAAATTTCGTCTTAATTTAGTTCCTGCAAACACTCAATTTTATATTTTTCACCTTTCAGAGCCTTTGATAAAACTTTATAGAAAATCGTATCTCTGATAAAACAGCCGTTCGCTGAGCAAAATATCGAGCACACAGAGTATTATTATTGCCTTACTTTGTAACCGATAAAGATAAAGCCACACTCCTTATAACTACAGATCAATCAGATTCAAATAGAATTTTATATTACAGGTAGTGCAATTCAACTTCTGTTTAGTTCCAGTTGCTTTGCATTTCAAGTAGAAATAATTGCCTAGACACATGAAGTTGATGTTATGAGCAAAAAGCCAAAACTGATCACTGCCCACTTTGTCAATATACCCACTTTAATCCTTTGAAGACCGGTGGCATATATATGTACTACTGTTTTTCATTCTGCGCTACCTTGCCACTCTTCTTCCGCTTTTCCCATCTAAATGATGGTCGTAAAAGGGCCATTTTAATTTTCCTAATGTTACAGTAATAAAGTAAATTGCTTTGCTTTAAATTTCGAAGTTGAAAGATATAATTTACCTTTAATCCTTTATAAAATGGTTTCCAAAGTAAAACTGTCAGAATAATATTCGTGAATCATCATTTTAAAAGCTGCGCGATTACCATACATGGATGACATCTGTAAGCTCCATGTTCACTGGAATTAGTGTCGCTGCATTTTGTTTAGGGTAACATACGGAAAGAAGTGTCTACAAAAGTTGTATCTAACATCTCGAACAAAATGAGAACGAATGTGAATACTAGAACAAAATGGGTAACAGAAAAAATTCCTTTTAATTCTTTAGAATGTTTATAAACTCATGGATCTTTGTATTTAACTTGATCTTCCTTGGGAATCGAAGAGTACTCAACTATAGTAGACCTTGACAATATAAGGCCATAACCTCATTACAAACCATCAGCACCTGAGAGTACTCTCGTAGAGTAGCCCCTGAGAGCCTAACATTGTTCCCAAATAATAGGACTTAAGGACCTAAGGATATTCCAGAATAATAGGACTTGAGGACCTTAGGGTATCCACAGATAATAGCACTTGCGGATCTCAGAGTATCCCCATATAGTAGTATATGAGGTTCTAAGAGAATCTCCAATAACAGGACTTGAGAACCTATGGGCTACCTCCAGTATTAGGAATTGAGGACCTTAGGGTATCCGCCAGTAATAGGGCTTGAATGAATTTTTGGAGCCCCTCTGAAGATAGGTACTTTAACTTTTAAAGCAGAGTTAAAGTACCACCCCTACTAATAATCAAGATATAATAGCGCCAAAAGAGATATTTCAATTTCAATGTCATTGGCTTGCATTACACTCCAAAGACCTACTACTGTATAAATAAAAAACTCAATCCAACATATTTGATATGCTTGCCAAAATTGTTCCCATGAATATGAAATTCCATTATCTGTTAATACTTTATGATAGAAGCGAACGAGTTCCAATGAATGTTCAATCGTATTTTCATGAACTGATGTAGCTATAAAAGAAGCTACGTCCATAGCAGCATGCCCAATGCCATACCATTGCCAATCTATAGCATATATTTGATTCTCATCCGAGTTGCGATCGATAAAAATATTTGCTATTTTATAATCGCCATGAATAATTGTGCGTGGTAGTAAATTATCGAACACAAACGAAATATCATTTAATCGTGATTCCAACTCAAAACCCAAATTTTTCGACGATTCCGATATTTGAAGCTGGTGATGAAAATTTTGTACAGTAATATCCCAAGCTTTTTGTATGCCATTCCTGTTCGCCTTGAATGAAATACAGAGCAGATAGAGCTCAAAAATTTAACTATTTCAAAAGAGAATGATACCAAACCACAATAAAGCTATCACGCATATTGGATGTTTTTTCGCTGAGAAGTCAAATTCCTCGGTAAAATCATATCTTTCCATTAACACTTGCAAAAAGCATATTGCCTTTCCAAAGCCTTATGATAATGAGTCGATTTAACCTCTTGTACTATTTGCTGAGGTCAATACGATCGAGTTAGTCCGAGTTTCGAAATAATTAGCAATCTCAAAGGATACCTTGTGAGTCTGTTATAAACGTGCCATCGTTATTTCTTGTTAAGCTCTAATGCACTAGAATGGCGAATATAGAATGTGTTCATATGCTCCGTTCACGGATTTCGCTATGCCACA